CAGATGTTGCGGAATTCTTTTAACCCCGCTCCGCTGGTTCAAACAAATCAAGAGGACTGTATCTTTCGATGCAACAACACGATTTAATGCAATCCAACAATCTACTGCGATGTACAACTCTCACATATTCAACGAAAAGTGTTAATCATTTTGAATAAACAATAAAACAATCACTGAATTCGGATTTCGTATCTGCTTAATTTTCCAGATTACACGAAAGCTGAATTCCAAACTTTATTATTATCGTTTGTCTTATTTATATCCATTCTGAAAAGCTTCCAAACAGACAATGAAAAATGTTTCCATGAACCACATTTACAAATATAATTTTACTGTTTTATGTTTACCTGTTTTATATATCTTAATCTGCGCCGCCGTTAACAATGAATAGGCCATTTTACAGTTATGGATGGAAGCGAGGCTGAGCGTGACCTTGTTTTAATACAAACCTTCCTGCTTTATTATGTAAATCAAGTTATACTTATGCTTACTATTATTTTTCAAGAACAATTTCCATAACAAAGCAAAGAAGGTTTGTATCAAAACAAGGTCACCCTCACTCTATTTTTTCCTTACCGACACATCCTGCACATTTTTTATATGTTCACCACAATTCAATGGTTGGTGCCGTGACACTGTAGTTTGCTTTCTCGAGGCCTAATGGAGATAAGAGACGCTACCGTCAACGCAGCATTTCGCAAGTATTTCCGCACAGCAATAAAGCTAACAACAAGATCATTAGGTTATCTTTTCAAGCTTTCAGAGGGAAGGTAGCGAAGAACCTTATAAACAAACGCTCATTCTCATTTACTTCCAGAAATTCTGAAAACATAGGTAGTTTTAATTGTGCATATTTAGAACGTCAAAACATCCTTCCAAATTATCAGAACTAAAGTCTCCTGAATGACAAGCTGAAATTCAGCTAGAATACTAAATGATCAAAGGTAAAGAAACATCCTTTTCCACTAACTTTGTTAACAGTGCTCGCAGCAATGCCCGATTCATCAGTGAACTCCCATTCATCGACACTCCTTCCGATCTGTTTTCGTTCCACCTATATGTATTTTAAAAGGTGAAAAAAAGGTAAGGAGTCCTTATTTTACGTCATTTGCTCGAAATACCCATCTGACTAACAAATGTGACCGACGGTGCGCTCGTTTTACCCCCTCCCCCCTCTCGCAGGGTATTTAAAGCTACACGGAAAGGAAAGAAGTTGAAAAAAGGATTTAAGGAATCAACTCGCGAACTCCCGCACAGAAGACCGCACACTAACCAACTGTGCTAATATTTCCTCCTGTTAGGATTAGCACAAATATACAAGTAACGTGAAATGGGCACATGGTATAAACCTTATTCTGTTTATCTATATTAATCCATGGTCATTCTTCTATTTATCTAAGGCAGCGTTCGCCGTGCTCGGTACCCAAGTACGTACAAGGTCGAGACCTTGTTTTCGGGCACATGCCACAATAGTGGGAACCGGGTCCTTGTGTGCACCCTGTTTTAATTTTATTAGTATTGGGGCAGTCCATTGCTTTGTACTCGTTGCTAAGGTCATGTTTCGAAATGGCGTCTGACAGGGTGAATTGACTATGTGCACATATCGGGTACTCAAGGTGTCAACAAAACACCATTTTGTACCAGTACCAGGCACTGATTCCCGGGCACCAAGGGGAAAGAAAGAAAGCAAAAGCACCAAAAGTGCAAAGACCACAAAAACCCGGTACTTTCAATAGCAAGCGAATCTACATGAATATGGATAGCTGTTCAAGAAACTCCAACGTAACGGCGCACTGACAAAACTAGTTGTTCCAAACGAAACGAACAAAACAAAAAACGAGCAAACAAACACCACCAAGAGGAAAGACCTCACACTGCAGGACTCCCAACACTGCGTGGTTTTAAACAAAGATGGACCAAACTGCGCCACAGACGAAACTAAACTCTGGTTAAGTCCTTGTTTTGGGCCCCCACCGGTGTACAGGTGTACGCGCCATGATTGACCAGTTAAAAAAGCCATTGTCAATTTGCCAATCAGGATGAAAGGAAATTCGAAACGGACTTCCGGTAATTCGTTGAGTACGCCGGGGGCCCAAAACAAGGATCTTGGCGCTGCTTCACACCGAGGTTAAATTACGTCTGCGAGGCAGGCTAAAATAGTTTTCAGGGATGGAAGCTACCATAGAAACTAAACAAGTCTGAAATCCCTCCCAACACTTATGCTGAAAACATTCGACAAAATACATAACACCCTCAGTACAGTAGAAAATAACGGATTATTATTACCTGGACTTGGTAGTTGTTTTTATTTCTTTTTTTCTTTTTATCCAACACCGCGGCGGCTTGTACGTTACTCCTATAAAATCTTGGACACTTTTCCAAAAAACTATCCATTTCTGCAAAAGTACACAACCAAATTATATAAACCAAAAAAACTACATAGAAATCCCGAATTTTCGAACCTCCGAGGGAAATGAAAATTTGTTCAAAAAATCAGGAATTCGAAAAATCGAAGGTGACATCAAATCACACCTGTTTTACCACGGTGTTGTGCTATAAGAAACAAAAAGGCAGAACAGCAGACAACAACAGTGAGAGTTAAATGAAGAGTTTATGGAATTAAACTTTCAAAGAACAGCTTAGCTTAAATCATTTTCATATTTAGCTCGATTTATTGTTTTTATACTTTTTT